GAGGCACAAGGGATGAAGGAAAATCTGGAGACGGAGGTTGAGTATAAAGTGCAAAGGAAGGGAGGCAGGAAGACAGCAGGGAAGGGGGAGGCAGAGAGCAAGAGGAAAGGAGAAATCAGGAGGGGGGAGAACAGAGGAGGGGCAGGAGGAATGACAAGAAGGATGGTGACAGAAAAGAAGATAAAAAAGGAAGACAGGAGGAGGAGAGAAGGGAGGAGGTGATTTGGTACAGGGGACCACAGGAGGGACTAGGGAAAGACAAGCAGATGTCTCCACCACCAGGTGAGGGAAGGTGGAAGAAGGGAGTCTCATGCCCAGCTGGCCAGGCTTAGGGAAGAGAAGGAACTTACCAAGGACTCGGTTCAAAGGGTCTCTCATATTGACTGTGTGCATCTGAGAGGCTGAGAGGGAACTGCTCATGGACCTGTCAGCTGGAGAATGGGAGGAAGAGGCAGAGGTGAAGACTACAGTGTTTGCTCAAAGCACTCTCCCCCAAGGGAAGCCCGCCCCAGCCTCCCTCCCTGGCTGACTGGTGAGATGAACCCCACTCTGGTTAAAGGTCCCAGGGAAGCCCCTAAGTCAAGGTACACCCCTTTCCTCACAGAAGTGCCCCGAGAAGAGAGCCTCCTGGCCTAGGAGGAACCCCACAGAGAGAAAATACCTGAGTGCTGAAAGGAGGTCTCAAGGAGGAGATGAGGAAATGGCACCACAGTTGCACAATGGGAAGATAATGAAATCAAATCAAGAGTGGATAGGAGAGGAGGGGAGGAAGGGGGCACCCAAAGGACGTCAGTGCTGAAGACTTCACGGCGTGGGGGGAGGAATGAAGCCTCTGCAGTCAAGTACTGGAGGGGCACAAGGCAGAAGGAGGCTGCAGTTACCTGCAATAACTAACGTTGATGCTGTGCTGATAACCTGTGTGATAAAGACCTGCAGCTGCAGAGCCTGGTGAGCGAACTCTGGGGGCCCCCAGCTCTCACTTAGAGGAGCCTGCTTCTTCTCTCAGGGACAAGGAAGCTGAGCAGATGGGGCTCCCAGGAAGGGACACAAGGTGGCAGGAAAGGAGTGTCAAGCCTCAGATTAAGAAGTCCCCACACTGGCCTCTCGGCCAGTCAGTGGGAAAGGGAGGGAGGAACACCAGATCCCTGGGACAGAAATAAGCTCAGGGACCAGAAGCAGGCAAACGCCGGTCATCAGGCCACTTTCCCTGTGCCCAGCTCCTCACAAGAACTTGGGAAACTGCTCCCAGGACTAAGACGGCACGACAACAACCTCCTTTGGGGACACCTGCTCTGAAACCTCCTTTCTGCTCTACTGAACACTCCCTCAGGTCCACAAAGACCTTTCCAGGACCCTCTGACACCGCTGCCCCACCCCACCCCACCCCTTCTCCCCTGCTTTCAGACACCACACTCTACTGGCTCTCCTCCCCCCCACCCCCACTCGCTCCTTCTCCATCTCCTTTCACATAATCCCAGACCTCAGAGGCCATCCAGTGCAACGAACACCTGACCAAAAACATCCCCAAGGAGAGATCGGCTAGCCTGCGCTTACAGACCTCCACTGATGGGGAGCTCACTCCCTATGGAAGCTGCCCATTCCATCCAGTGGTTTCTGATTGCCCTGATTGTTAGGCGCTGTCGCCTCGGACCAAACCAGAATCTGCCTCTTGTACTTTCCACAGACTTCTCGCAGAGCTGCCTTCCAGGGCCAGGGAGAACAAGGCTGAGCCATCTTCTGTCACTGACAGTCCCTCAAATAGGTACAGCCAGTTAGCAGATGGAACCCCATATACACAAAAATATTTATAGCAGCACTTTTTGTGATAGCAAAGAACTGGAAACAATGTGGATGCTTATAGACTTGGGAACAGCTAAACAAATAGTGTCCATGAATGTAACGAAATATTACTATGTTGTAACAGATGACAAATGCAATGAATACAGAGAAGCATAGGAAGATCTCCACGAACGAATGAGGAGTGAAGGAAGCACAGATTAAAAAAAAAAGAAAGATATACACAGTGACTACATCTGAGTAAATGGAAAGAGTCACAGAAAAAACCAAAAGTCAACATTTCCAAATTATGAAGAACAAGACTCAGAAGAGGTAAGGGCAGACCCCACCACCCAATCCCTTCAAAGAGGTGGAAGGTCCACAAGTACTGGACGTTGTACATGTTTTCAGACTTTTTTGATGTACTGATCAGTTACGCTGATCTTTTTTCTTCAATTTTTTTTTCTTTTGTTTTAAAAAAAATCTTACATGGGATGGCTCTCAAGGAGGGGGAGAGAATATGAGGGGAAATGTAATACATAAAAAAAGAGATCAATAAAACTTATTCTTAAAAAAAAGACAGGAATAGTGAGCAGGGCAAGGAAAGCGACAGATGCACTGTAATTCTATTCTGGTTGGACAAGATCTGTGGTATTGTATTCAGTTCTAGGAATCACATTTTAAAAAGGAGACTCATAAGCAGGAAAGAACCCAGAAAAGGGTAATCAGGATGGTGACCAGCAAATGTCATAAAATCTATCGAAGGAATTAGAGATACTTAACTTAGAGAATCAAGCAATCCACAAGCATTTATTCAGCACCTACTACGCAGCCAGACAAAAAATGAAACAATATTTCTTCTTTAAAGAGCTTATATTCCACTTGGAGAAGAGTTGACTTACAGGTGAGGGGACGTGCAAATCATCTCAGAGTACCTGGAGGCCAATCATGTGTTAGTAATCAGTCTTGTCTGCTTGGCTCCAGAAGAACCAGGAGCAATGGACAGAAGTTGTAAAGATGTGATTCTGTGATGAGGTAGAATGTCTCTGTGAGACACAGAACTCACAGGTCAAGAAAGGACCAAGAACAGGTTTAAGAAGAGTAAGGCAGTTGGAGAGGCGGGATCAGAGAGACATATTTTAGAGTTTTGGGAGGTGGAACAATTTGGGATGGTGGTGAGATCTAAGATGTGACCACCCTGGGGACAGCTGAGTGTTGAGGAAAGCTCAAGGGCACTGAGGTTAGTGAACCTAAAGTGTTGTTAACATGCACACTGAAATTATCAAAAATGTGGGCAGGGGTTAGGGTAGCAAGGAAGACCTTCAGCTAAGGACTAAAACCATCAAGTAAAGAGAAGCCATATGGACCAAAATATTTATAGAAACAGTTTTAGTAGCAGCAAAGAAAAAAAGGAGAACTCTTTTCTTCATTGTAAAAGTGAGAGGTCAAGGCTATGGAATATTGCCTATATAGTCACAATTCATTGATATGTTGATTATTTTCCCTGAACTGTTTTTTTCATTCTATGGACAATACAGAATGCAGATTAAGGCAGATGTGATACTTGCCAAGAAAGGGAAACACTACTATGGTTAAACCTTCCACCTCATACTCTCCCAAGATTTGTGTTATAGAAAAACTCCAGATCAATTAAGCTACACTCTGCAGGGGTAAACAAGAGGAAGCTCCCAGGGGCTCTACTACCAAGGCCTGTTTTATTCCACAGCAGAACTCCACTAGATGGTCACTCTATGTTAAAAGGGGAAATAGCCCCCTTCCTACAAAGCATTCAAGCCAGCTGCTCCCTAGCCTGGGGCCCTGCCACCTTTAATGTAAATAAATAGAAGTCATTTCCTATGAACCAAGTGCCTGGGTGGGGAGGTGAGGGGGGGAGGGAAGAGGGGGCCTCATATTTCTCAGGCTCTAGCCCAGGCTTGGCCCCCACCCAGAACAAACTAATACTTCCAGGAGAAGGGACACAAGCAGGGACTGCCCCTATACATCTCTTCCTGGTTCTGGATTAGTTGTGAAGAAATGGGTGGAGCCAGAATTCTCTAAAGAATAAAGAATCTTTACACTCAAGTAATGGTGCTAATCCAGCTCTGAAAATATTAACTGATCTTTAGAGAGTATCATCTCTGTTTGAACCAAAATTTGTCCATGGTTCAATAGATAGAGAGCTGAACTTGGAATCAGGAAGAACTGAGTTCAAATTCTGCCAAAGAAACTCAGAAGTCTTAATTTCTATCAGCCTTAGCTTCCGGAATCTGCATACTGAGAGACAGCACCTACCTGATAAGACTGTTTTGAGAATCAAATGAGATGACCCAGGCAAAATATTTTGCAAATGTTAAAGTGTTATATAAATATTTGCTATTATTATTATTACGCTGGAGTTCCTCCATTTCATCAAGAATTTTAGCAGGACAAATCCTTGAGAAGAGGCACAAGCTGAAGATTCTTACATCCTGGACAACTTTCCACTGAGGGGAGCAGAAATTATCACAATGGAATAGACTCTACAGTGACAGTGAAAATATTTTAGCTGAATGTTGCCATCTCTTCCCTTTACAAGACATTCAAAACAACTGTTTTCCTCATAAGAAGTGCTCAACAAGTATTGACTGAATGAATGACTGAAAGAAGGTGAGTTCCTCAGGACCCTAAAAAGCCCAGGAAAAGGGAAAATGACCCAAGGATCAAAGGCTAGAAAGGAAGGCAAAAGGCCTCTCCAGTCCACAGATCTCCAAGATAAGTGCTCCTTCCCACAAGTATGCGGAGTTAGCAGCAAAAGAGAAATGATTGGCTTTTCCGGCCCAAAAGTGATCGTGGTGATTGAAGGCACTGTGGACAGAAGTGCATGGAGAGGCCTGGAGGGGAAAGGGAAGACTACAGACCTCTCACTGTAGAACTGTAGGGTATTCTCACTGCAGAGAGGCCCGACCAGCTGGCGAATCATCTGAAGTGATTTCTCACGTTCGTCCAGGCCCAGCATACAGACATGGGCCACAAGCCAAGCAACGGCACACGCTGCCAGGCTGCACACCTTTCCCTTGATGTTGTCTGTGATTTTCTGGGATGGGAAACATATCAGCTGCAGGTACCAACCCCAACCCCAAGCCCTGCCCTGCACCCTTTCCTTGGACACTGCTGCCCCTAGGGAAGGATCAGAACTCAGCAAGATGAGCCCTGGGCCCACCATAATCCAGTATGCCCACACTGACACTGAGGGCTGGGAAGGAGAAGGAGAACTGACCTAGACATCTAGAAATGACCATGGCTTCAGGAGGAGACACCTTGGTCTTAATTTCTACAGATGGAGAGACCCTCCACCCTAAGGAGATGCAGTGATGCCCACAACTGGCACCTGGCACTTTGGAGAAGAGAGAAGAGTAAAGAGTGGTATGGGTGGGGAAATGAGGATGTCATATCCTGGGACCAAAGGGCATTACTGGGCACAGAGGGGAATGGCTACCTGGATGGACTCAAAAGCCAGGACTCCATTCTCCCAGGCATTCAGAATCTCCAAGATGGCAGCTGAGATGCTGAGACAGGCCTCATGCCACTTCATCTGCCTGTTGGGAAGAAATGGGAGGAAGGTCACCAAAATGGGAGCAAGAACATGGCCTTGAAGGAGAAAGACCCTGACTGCTGCCCCCACTTGCATCCTTCCAGGCCACCTACACTAGCTTCATTTCAGAGGTGTTGTTGAGCAGGGCAACCAGGGATTCCACGTTGGTAGAGTCAGGCCGGAAGCAGGGGTGGTCAGGATTCAGGATCTTGCCCTCCTCAGGCATACATGTCTGCATCCAGGTCTCAAAGAAAGGCACTTCACCCACAGTGCTTGATTCTGACAGAATGACCTAGATGATGAACAAGTCAAGGAGAGGGATAAAACATCTGCCCACCAGGCACCTTTACCACCCTGACAACAGGGCAGTGTGACAAAAGCCTCAGAGGACCACTGCCACCCCACCTCTGCCTGGGTGGGCCTCAGCCTTTATCCTGCCAAGGCTGACATTCTCTCTCACCCACCCCAGAACCAGGTAGTTTTAGGGGAAGGAGAAGAAAATGAGGCCTATGCCGCCATCTTGTGGTCAATGAAGATATGGTCCCTAAAGAGTCTGCATGAGCCTGTAGGGGAGAAAGGGGGAAAGAGAAAGGAAGGGTCCCTGTCCCTCTCCTGAGGATCTGGGCAGCCATCAGCCAGTGGCATAGTGTGTCATCATTCCTGAGACCTGGTGATCTAGGAAGGTTTCTCTGGCCTTCACAAATGGTTTCTTCCCCATTTCCATGTCACCAAGCCCCTTGTCATCCTCTACCCCATTCCTTGCTGCCCTTCCCCTCTCACTGACCTCTGAACCATAGGTCTGGGCCACATGGCACAACATGAGGAAGGAGATGTCAAAGAGCAGAGCACGGACTGAAGCTACTTTGGCTGTGGGGAGTAAACGCAGAAGTGAGAAGAAGCCTTGTTTGCCCAGGGCTGAGGGCAAGAAGGGTTCAAGTCAAGGAAGGTCAGAAAGAGAGCAGCTCCATCACAGACCTGGGACTCAGGATCCTTTTCTTGGGGTTTCACTTTGAGCATCATTCCTCCCTTGAAATATGAGGACTTCCCAAAAGTCCTGAGCCCCCTTCCTTTGCTCTCTCTTCTCCACCCCAAACAGCAGAATTGGGTTCACAAAGACGACAGGCAGGTACAATTTTAGAACAATCCTTGGCCTGCCCTTACCTGCCCTTTTCAGGGTTCTTATACAACCCTGATTAGTCATCTATCATAGTGTAAAGACCACCCTCTGCGTGGGTGTGTGTCTGTGTGTCTGTGTGTTTGTGCATTGGGGCAGAGGACAAGGAAATAACTTACAGTTTTCATTACTGATGTTCTTTGTGAATTCATTCAAGCTGTGGAAAGAGGGGAGCTGGGTCAAAAGAGGGGCCTGGGACAACAGGAACAGCTAGAGACAGCAGAAGAGGGGGGAAATCTGTGCTTCTCAACTAGTGTCAGTCACCAGCTTTCGGGTTATAAATCACATTACACTAAAATACAGCTTTATCACCACAATCTCTGAAAACATCAAATGCCAGCTGATGGTCCACTAAATACAAACAAATTCTAGTACACTTGAAGAACTGCCTTCCCCTGGAGATGACTGGAACAGGATTTCACAGGAAATTATGAATGGAATGGCATGAGCTGGAAAGGTCTTTAAATGCCAGCTAGTCCAGTCCCTCTATTTTAGTGAGGAAATTTATGCTCTAAAGGGTCAAGTGAATGGCCAAGGTCACAGAACTCCTTAGCAGCAGAATCAGAACTTTCTAGGTCTCCTGCCTCCCTAGTCCAAAGCTCTTCCCAGTATAGCCTCTCCTAACTTGTATTTGGTTAATGACTGGTTACTTTATGCCAAATAATTTTTTAAATGTTTTTTCCAATTATGTACAAAATTTTTAACATTCATTTTCTAAAATTCTGAGTTCTAAATTCTCTCCCTCCCTCCTCATTGAGAAGGCAAGCAATTTGGTATGTTATACATATAATGCCTAATATTTAAAGTGTCTTCACTGCCACTACTCTCATCAGAGGGAAAACTGAGGTAGGACGTGGAGGAGGCCAATCCAATGATGCCAAAGGAAAGAGGGAGAAGCAGAATTGAGGATCAAAATCAATTCGTCTTTTCCTGAGGCAGAAAGGGGTGGCTGAGAGGTGAAGGGATAACAAGCACCTAGACCCCAACCAAGCATAGAGCACACACATTTGGCTCTTCCCTGGGCCTCAATAACCCAGCCACAGTCACAAACTCAAACACTAGACAAAGAGGCCCCATCTGGGTCAACGGGCACAGGGAGTGGAAGGGACAGTGGCCAGGGCTGGCCCAACTACACATACACTTACCGCTTGGCCATCAGGCTCTCTTTGTTCACCTCAGAGAGCAGTCCTTGCTTACTACACTCCTGGAGCAGCATGTTGATACAATCACAGCTGGGAGAGAGGAGAGGGGGGAGGGAGGGAGAATGTCTGAATAGACACACAGGGGAGTCTTCAGAGCAGAGGGCATCTGACTTCTTCAGACCTGCTCCAGTTCTAGAAGCAGAGACTTCTAGAAGCTTCTCTGGGGGTCTGAGAAAGGGAAGCAAGGAAGCACTAGACTGTGGACAGGCTGCAGGTTTGCCTGCCCCACCTGGAACAGGTCTACCCAACTCATGGGGAGTTCTGTCTGACCAAAGTCTTTTCTCCCACTCTTTCTCAAGGAAGGAGGTATCTAAGGGGACTGGATCAGGAGATGAGACATCCTGACGTGTAACATTCTAAAAGTAGGAGGAGGGAGCCCCAGAAACAGAATGGCTTCTCTTGGGCACATCAGCCAAACAGGGGCCCTGGGAGCACTCACTTGCACCGATGGTCAGCCTTGTCGAGCAAGGGTGTGAGCTTCAGCAGGAACTCAAAGGCACAATTCACATCCTCAGTGAAGTCCTACAAAGAGCCAGAAACCCCAATCTGGGCTCCATGCAGCCTTCTCCATTTCTAGTCACACATGGCAATGCTGGGCACAGGTGTTAGTTATTCTGCTAGGCCTGTGGCCCAGGCCAACTGGCTGGGTGTGCCCAATGTTGTGATGGAAAGAGAAGTGTCATCTTGCCTATTCTGGTAGTAGGATGATGATGGTGATGATGATGGTGATGATGATGATGATGATGATGATGTGTGTGTCTGTACATGTGTGTTTACTTGGGGATGAGGCTTTTAAATATAACAAGTAAAATCCATAGGATTACAAAGGAAACCAGTTATATTGAGTTATCAAAGTATTTTCAATACATAATTTCCTGATCTAGAGGCATTCAAACAATTCAACTCCCTGAAGAGTTTCTAATAGCCCAGCCTCAGGATATAACCATAAATTTCCTTCCTTCTCACTGGTTGCCAGTTTCCCTGTTGGGCCATAAATGGTTCTTCTCTTTCCTCTGTCCTCCTCAGGTAGCACTTTATACCATAATACAGTCTGGGGCAACTCACCTTGTCCCCCTGAGGGTATTTCTTCAGTTTCACCAAAACCTGAGGAATCTAGAGGGAAAAAGAAGAAGAAGGCCCGGGGGAATCAATTTCTTCTCCTTTCTTCCACCTGGCCCAGGAAGAGAAGCCCCATCCCAAGCACAAACTGCAACATATCTATCCCAGTAAGAGACAAGAATTCACAGATGCCAGACCAGAAAGAGTCCAGTGTGTGTCAAAGCACCCTGGGCTAGTCAGCTCCCAGTTTCAAGGGACCATGGCTTAGGGTACATTATCACAGAAGTGGTGTTAGAGATGAGTATGACCCCAGAGAGGTATGGGCAATCCCATGTGTCTCCATGTTCTGGCTCCCACCCCACATTCCTGCACTATGATGTGGCAACTATTGAACTAAACAGAATCCCAATAGTAAAGAACAAAGGGATCAGCCACAGAGCTCAATTTAACTAATTTAAAGCTCAGGAACTATGAAGAGGAACGTGGCAGAGGCTAATAGCAGAGGGAGATCATTTGGGTTTAACGTGGCCTCTTGCTCCCAATCCTTCCCCCAGTACCTTGAGGAAAGTGAAGGCTGTCCACTTGAGCTCCTCAGTGCCCTCAGGGGATTCAATGAGACCCACAAAACAAGCTTTCCAGATCTCCAGGACAAAGAGAGGGGTGGGAATACGCTAAAGTAGAAAACAAAAACAATCATGTACATTTGGGGTAGGGGGACACCAGACAAGAACTCCTGATGGGGAACCTTCCTCTACTAGTACAGATCAGCACAAGTACTGCAATCCCAGCCAAAGGGAGTTGTCTAGGGCCCTGTGAGATGACATGACTTGCCTTGGATCACAAAGCCAGCATGTGTCCCAAGGAGACCTTGAACTCACATCTTCTTCACTTGGAGCTCGGCCTTCTAGTCACTAAATCCTCATAATTATATTAGTGTTTTAAAGTTTCCAAAGCACTTACTTCACAACAACCCCATGAGGTAATTCATTTTAGCACCTTCATCCTACAGCTGAAGAAATTGAAGGCAGTGCACTGGCCCAAAGTCAAATAGCTAGTAAGATTTTAAACTCGGTCTTTCTGACCAGTGCCAGAATGGAAGAGCCCTTCTTTAGTCTTCATTCTAAGAACTAGGTGATTAAGGGGTGACCTCAAACTGTATTAGAATGGGGGTCCTCAACCACTGAGCTCTCTCAGTAACTGTCCAGAGGCTTCTTCTCTCAGTGCCCAACAAATACAGCTCAATGATCTGATTTCTAGCTGGCTGGGCTGCCCAAGGGATGAAGGCACACACTGTCCCCACACCTGCATCCTCTTCACCATCATCAGCTGTTCAACCAATGGCTGCATCTCTCCTGTCAGATTCATGGTGCCCTCCAGGAGGACCACAGCATGCACTGTGGGGAACCCAGTCTTGTGCAGCTGCTCTGAGTGCATAGACAGCATGATAGGGATGCTGAAAGGAAGACAAACAGACTAAGTTTGGGTAAGGGAGTAAAAAGTGCAGAACAGAGAAGAGTTCAGACCTGTAGGAGACATTTGGGCTCATGGAACTCTGTTTTGCCCCCAGCAGGCTCACTGGACTGCCTGGCACATCCTCCTTTTTTGTTTTTTTAATCAAAAAAAACAAAACAAAACCAAAAACCCAGACATTTTATTGATACCTTTTGTTTTGGCATCACATACATTTCCCAATATATTCCTCTACCTACCCTGTCACCCCCAAAGAACCATCCCTTATGATAAAGAATTAAAAGACTGGTACCTTCTAATCAGTACTCCACATTCTTCTGCTTGACTCTGGAGATGGGAATTGCTAAGGCTGGCAAAGGTCTCCCCAAGCTTCAATAATGACTGCTCAATGGCTGTCCAGGAGGCTGTTGGAGAAAGACAGGAGGAGATGAGAAATACTAGCCTCTTTAAAGGCAACAACTCACAATATTAGGTACTCTCAGAGAATAACAGGGTATGTACCCAGGGACGTAAGTGGTAGCATGCACTTTCTGCTCTTTTCTAAACAGGGTAGGAACAACAGTGGATGAAATTCCCAGAAAGTTTTCCAAGGCCTCTGACATCATGAGAGTTTATACTGCTGATACCACTACTAGCTCTGTATCCCAAAGAGATCAAAGAAAAGGGAACAGGACCTATACGTACAAAAATATTAACAGCAGCTCTTTTGGTGGTGGCAAAGAATTGCAAACTGAAAGGATACCCATTGTTTAGAGAATGGCTAAACAAGATGTGATATATAATTGGGATGGAATACTATTATGCTATAAGAATAACCAGCAGGATGGTTTCAGAAAAACCTGGGAAGGCTTATATGAACTAATGCAAAGTGAAGTGAGCAGAATCAAGAGAACACTGTACATAGTAACAGTAATATTGAAATGATGATCAACCATGAAGGATTTAGTTATTCTGGTCAAGACAATGATCCAAGACAATTCTAAAAAGACTTAATGAAAAATGCTATCCACCTCCAGAGAAATGATGAATTCTGAGGGCAGATTGAAGCATACTTTTTTTTACTTTCTCTGTTTTTTGCTTTTTATTTTTATTTTTTTGTCAACATGGCTGATATGGAAATATGTTTTATATGATTTCACATGTAAAGCTGATATAATGCTTGCCTTCTCAATATAATAGGTAGGAGAGGGGCAGAAGGGAAAGAGAGAATTTGGAACTGAAATTAAAAAAAAACCAAACAAACTAATGTTAGAGGCAACTAGGTAGCATAGTGGATAAAGCACTGGCCTTGGAATCAGGAGGACCTGAGTTCATAGATGGCCTCAGACACTTACTAGCTGTGTGACCCTGGGCAAATCACTTAACCCCAATTGCCTCTAAAAAAAAAAAGTTAAAAAAAAAATTAATGTTAAAAACAAACATACATCATAACAAGTCAAGATCCAGAAAGATTTCAATAGGTTGAACATTTAGGCTAAATCTATAAAATGAAATTAATAGAGCTAAGGCTTTGTTGTTATTGTTCAATCGTTTCAGTCACGTCCAACACTTCCTGACCCCATTTGGGACTTTTTTGGCAGATACTGGAGTGGTCTGTCATTTTCTTCTTTTTTTTTTTTTTTTGTGAGGCAATTAGGGTTAAGTGACTTGTCCAGGGTCACACAGTTAGTGTCAAATATCTGAGGCCATATTTGAACTCAGGTCCTCCTGACTCTAAGGCTGGAGCTCTATCCACTGTGCCACCTAGCTGCCCCAATAAGTTCTTGAAGCTGGATCATTACACTTAATATTTAATTACATTTTAAAAAAGAGGAGTGTTGCAGAAAAATCGCTGGACTTATGAATCAAAAGAGATGCATCTTTCAATCTCATCAGAGTTCTAGTACTTCCCAGATATGTAATTTGGGTAAATCACTGAAACTATTTGAGTCAAAACTGCCTCACCTGTAAAACAAAGATAATAATACTTACACTAAATAATTTACATAGTTCTGTGAGAAAAAGCACTTTGCAAATGTAAACACACTACACAAATGTAAGTTCATTTAGTATTAGGATCAATGAAGTTACTGGTATTCATCATGGAATTCCTGAGAGTCATATATTGGACAGGACCATATAACTGATAGACTTCGAAATGTTACAAGAACAACAAAATACAAGCTATGAGATCGAGTTAAGACCCTAACCTGTTTTTATCTAGTAGTCATCTTTCTGAACCTCTCACATGGAACATAAAAGTTTTCCTAATTAGTCTTATCTAGGAAACCAAACTCAAGGCTGCCCTTCTCTACAGTTAACATCTAGTCAGTTAAAATCTGGGCACTTAAGTATCTTTTCACCTCCAGGGACTCAGTCTGCTTCCATAGTTGAGGTTTTTCTTTTCTGCCTCTGAAGGTTCTGGTATCACGTAAAATAATATAAGTAAATAAGCATATGACACATAAAAGCATGCCATTATGAACATTTAAAAGGACATCTGGGACAAGTACATATGTCAAGGACTAATTTATTTCCAATGACAAACTAATAAAATATTGAAGACCAGGCTACCAAGCAAGTTCTTCCTCTTTGCTATTTTGTATTAACTTTCTCATCTACATAATAACTGCCTTGTCTCCCCAGTTAGAAGAAGAGAGCTCCTTGATTACAGGTGTATGTGTATCTTTTTTTTTTTTAATTTACACCTTTAATGTTATGCCAATCAAATCATTAAAGGGAAATTTTACAGAACTTGATAAAATAACAACAAAATTCACTAACCAAAATAAAAGATATAGAATATCAAGGAGAATAATGAAAAGAGTTAGGGCAAAGGAGGAGCAGCATTTCCAGATAGTCAAAGTATATTATTTTTAAAATTGTACATTTTTTAATCAGTTAAAATATGCCTTCTCAACCTCCCATCTACCTACTACTAATTGAGAACAAAACCCATTACAAACACATAGAGTCAAGCAAAACAGATTTTCTCCTTGGCTATGTCCAAAAAATTATTTATCTCATTCTGTATTCTGAGTCCTTTACCTCCCTATCAGGAATGTGTAACAGGTTTCATTATTAGTCCTCTGAAATCATGGTTGGTCATTATAACAAGCTTAATTTTTTCAGAGTTGTTTGTCTTCATCATAGCTTGTTCAGCCTTTCTCCAACGTATAGGCACTCCCTCAGATTCCCAATTTTTGCCATCTCAAAAAGAGCTATAATATTTTTGGGAATCCCTAGAGTTTGATTTGTTTAGGACTTATCTCTCCCTTTATCTGCCCTCCTTCTACCTTTTCTTTCTGATTTCCCTCCTAAGTAAAATAGATTTCTACACCCAACTCTGTGTGTGTCTGTGTGTGACCAGTTCAGATGAGAGTGAGGCTGAAGTATCAGCTGCCTTCTCCCATGCCCTCAGCAACCATATATGTGTTCTTGCTAACCCGGATTATATAAAATAATTTTCTCTAACCTTCTTTTCCCTTCACTTTCCCCATGTATCCCTCTTCCCCTCTCATTTTTTTCCTTGTAGAATTATACTCAGTTTTTCTGGGTAAGTTATTTTTGGCTATAAAGCTATATCCTTTGCCTCCTGGAATCTCATATTTCAATCTCTCCATTTCTTCATGGTGGTGGTTGCTATATTATGCGTGAATCTGACTATGGCTCTGTGGTACTTAAATTCTTTTTTCTGGCTGCTTTCAGTGTTTTTTTTTTTTCTTTGACCTAAAAGCTCTGGATTTCGGCTATAATGTTCCCAGGAGTTTTCATTTTAGGGTTTCTTTCAGGAGATGACCAGTAAATTCTTTCTCTTTCCATTATGCCCTCTGATCCTAAAAGATGTAGACAGCTTTCTTTTTAGATTTCTTAAAATATGTCTAGGCTTTCTGTTTGGCCATAGCATTCAGGCAGTCCAATGTTTTCCAAGTCAGTTGTTTTTGCTATGAGATACCTTACCTTTTCTTCTATTTTTCCTAGTTCCCCCAGTCTGAGCTGTGCAAGTTCCTGACCCGCATTTGGGTCTGAACAAAAATATATTGCTGCTTGTCTCAGCTATCATCTGCCAGCTAGAATGATTTGCTGGCTCACAGTGAAACTGTAGGTTTGCCTTTGGTCTGGGATTCCTGCCCTCATTATTTCTCTGAAGGTTTCCAACTGAAATAGAAGCTGAAACCTAGCTCTGCCCCTGGGGTCTGAGCTACACCTATCCTACCTTTCTCAGTATACTGCCCAGGACTTTCCTACCCAAGAATGCCATCCTCAGGGACTGGGATTTATCATTCTGCTCTGGATCTTCGGCCTGAAACTGGGTAGCAAGTAAGTTGGCCCGGGAGTATGTATATCTTATACCTATTTTGTATCTCCAGTAGTACTGAGCACATTAGAAGGCATGTGGTAGTTACTCACTAAAAACCTCTTGGTTGACTGATAGGGAAAACAGAATGAATAGGGTGGGATGAGGCTGGGTTAGATGACCTGTGAGATCCCTTCAAACACTTAAATCTGCAAATGTATAATGGGAAGGAAGGTACTATAGTCAAAAATTCCCAAAACACAATCAGTATTTATAGGGAGAGAAATAAAGAGGATATGGGATAGTTTCACAACCCATTGAAAAGGGTAATAGCACCCTGCTTCATCTCCTTTGACATCACATACTAGATATGGGAATGGTGGTGAATGAGAATTAGAAGGCAAAGACAACATACAGACTTCCTCCAGTTTGGCGACATGTAGCAGGGCTCGATTCTTGGTGCTGCTGAGGATCTTCTTAAGTTGCTGAAGACACCTGGTGAGCTGTTTCTCCCCTGTTGTGGCCCCCATCTCAAGGCCCTCCCGAAGTCGCTCTGCTGAGGCAGTTGTGCATCGAAGCAACCAATGAAGGGCACTGAGGAGGGCACGGCACAGACCTATGCACTCCTCTGCCTTGCCATGACAACTGTGGAGAAAGGAATATAGCCCACCTGACTCTGAGTCTCCCTTCAAGTCCAATCACATGGCCTCCCTCTACCTCACTCACTACAACAACTACTCTTAACCTTTTTTTGTCCTGGACAACACAGGTAGGCTGGTAAAGCCTATGCACCCCTTGTCAGAAAAAAGTTTTTAAATGCATTAAAAAAAAA